ACGAGGATGTTATTTTCCTCTTGGTTGACATTTATTTCTCTCCTTACATTTCTTAGATGTATAAATCATTAGCAGTAAAAAGCAGCCACTGACAGCATGTCAATGGGTTTAAAAAACTTCCTCTCTGAGAATTGTTTCTCCATTTTGCTGTGGACTTGACGCCTTACTTGCCTCCAGCTGATATCTTGTCTAGAAGAGGAAATAATACCCACATCTGTAAATCTCTGATCGATGAAGTTCATCACTAAATTCACTAGGGGGGATTTACCAAAACTGGTGCAAACAGAATCTGGAGCAGTTGCCCATAGTAACCCATCAGCTTCTATCTTCAGTTTGTTTAGTACAGCTTTGAGAATAAAAGAGAGAATCTGATGGGTTACTATGGGCAACTGCTCCAGATTTTGTCTATAGTCTTTTTGTCTATAGATTGCAGAGTTTATATTCTCACCCATTGTCATCACTAAAAACTTTTTCACAATGCGAATCAGGGCATGTCTGAAAGCAAAGGAGAAAACTGCAAATATAGCGATTAATAATCCTTAACTGAAAAATACAGGACAAAATAATATGGTCAGATTTTACCTAGAGATTAAGAAAACATTTTCGTTTATCACAGGTACAAATCGTAACATACGTAATTATTTCCAATTCCAACTACTACTACTAATGTGCTATAATAAAAATAATAATAACCATCATCATTTTATATTATCTATATATAGATCTATATATAGATCTATATATAGCTCTATCTATATATATATAGATAGAGCTAATGAATAAGCCCATGAACAAATCTACAGAGATGTGTATGTTACTTTTAGCTTGGTACCTGCAGACTGAGCCATTCGTTCCTGTGTAATGCGGAAGATCTATATAGACTAAAGTTGTAGAGATTTACAGACAGGTACATGTGCAATGCTAGGAATCTGAAGGGAATGACACCCCAGCCCTATAGAAGCCCGTGTGTGGAGACCATTTAATGACTCGGAATGGTGATGGTTTATGGTTTGTGGAATGCAGAGAGATAGCGTGGAAATTTGCTGCGGGAACATTATGACTTATTAAATATACTTCCTAGAATGGCAAACACTGTGCAAGTGTGGCGTCCTGTGTGTATGGCTGAGAGTAAAATAAAACAAGTTTTCTTTCTTCACTGTATAATGAGAATATTATTAAAAACATTTTAAATGTGTTCATACTCAATATTTACTAACGACAAATAAACATATTCCATGGCAACATATGGATAAAGGACTGCTTCACATAACACTGACAACAGCTTGCTAACCCCTGCTTATTAGGCAGCCCCATGTCTACTGTTCAGATATTGTGTCCCAAGGAAAATGTATGTGCCCCATGCATAATGTCCAGCGTGTGTGCCCAATAAATGTGGTGTGGTCACGAACACTGAATTGAGTATGTCCATGAATGATGTGCAGTAACTGTGCCCCATGAATGGTGAACAGTGACTGTGCCCCATGACTGGAAAGCAGTGAATGTGCCCCAGTGAGTGTGGCCCATTGATGGGAAATATGTTCAAAGAATATTGTGTCCCTGGAATGGAGAGTGGTAAGTATACTGTACCCCATAAATGGTGAGCAGTAAGGGTGCCCCATGGATGGTGAACAGTAAGTGTGCCCCATGATTGGTAAGCAGTGAATGTGTCCCGTGGATAGTGAGCAGTGAGTGTGCCCCATCTATAATGAGCACTGAGTGTGCCTTATGGATAGTGAGCAATAAGTGTGCCCCATAGAAAGTGAACAGTAAAAGTGCCCCATGCATGGTGAGCAATAAGTGTGTTCCATGGAGAGTGAAGAGAGTGTGCCCCATAGATAGTGAGAACTATACCCTATGGATAGTGAGCAGTGAGTGTGCCCTTTTGATAGTAAACAGTGTGCCCCATTGATAAAAAGTAGTGAGTGTTCCCTATGGATAGTGAACAATGTGCCCCATAAATAGTGAACAATGATTGTGTCCTATGGATAGTGAACAGTGAGTGTTCCCCATGGATAGCGAGTATGGGTATGTCCTGTGGATAGTGAGCAGTGTGCTCCTTGGATAGTGCACGGTCAATGTGCTCCATGAATAGTGAGCAGTATGTGTGGCCTATGGATAGTGTGCAGCGAGTGTGCCGCGAGTGTGCCCTATGGACAGTGAGCATTGAGTTGTTCCAATAGATAGTGGACAGTGTGACCTATGGATAGTAAGCTGTGTGCCCCATGGATAGTGAACAGTGAGTGTACCCATAGATAGCGAACAGTGAGTTTACCCAGTGTATAGTGAGCAGTGGGTGTACCATATGGATAGTGAGCAGTGATTGCATCCCATGCATAGCGAGCTGTTAGTGTGCCCCATGGTGAGTGAGCAGTAAGTGTGCCCCATGCATAGTCAGCTGTGAATATGCACCATGGATTGTGAGCAGTGATTGTGCCCCATAGATAGCGCGCAGTCAGTGTGCCCCATGGATAGAGATCAATAAATGTGCTCCATGGATAGTAAACAGTCAGTGTGCTCCCTGGTTAGTGAGCAATGCTTGTGCCCCATGGATAGTGTGCGATCAGTGTGCCCCATTGACAGTAGTGAGTGTGTCTCATGAATAGTGTGCGGCCAGTGTGCCCCATGGATAGTTAGCTGTCAGTATGCCCAATAGATAGTGAGTGGTCAGTGTGCCCCATGTATAGAGAGAGAAATACATTTGCTCCATATATAGTTAACAGTGAGTGTGCCCCATGGATAATGAGAAGTAATTGTGCCCCATGGATAATGAGAAGTAATTGTGCCCCATGGATAGTAAGCAGTCAGTGTGCTCCAAGGATAGTGAGCAGTGAGTGTGCCCCATGGATAGTGAACAGTGAGTGTGCCCCATGGATAGTGTGCAGTCAGTGTGCCCTATGGATAGTGAGCAGCCACTGTGCCCCATGGACAGTGAGTGGTCAGTGTGCTCCATGGATAGTGAGCAGTGAGTGTACCCCATAAATAGCGAGTGGTCAGTATGCTCCATGGATAGTGAGCAGTGTACCTCACAGATAATGAGCAGTGAGTGTGCCCCCAAGGATAGTGAGCAGTGAGTGTGCCCCAAGGATAGTGAGCAGTGAGTGTGTCCCATGGACAGTGTGCAGTTAATGTCCCCCATGGAAACTGAGCAGGCAATGTGCCCCATGGATAGTGAGCTACCAGTGTACCCCATGGATAGAGAGCAATAAGTGTGCTCCATAAATAGTAAGCCATGAGCGTGCCCCATGGATAGTGAGCAGTCAGTGTGGCCCATGTATAGTGAGCCGTGAGTGTGCCCAAAGGATAGTAAGCAGTGAGTGTGCCCAAAGGATAGTAAGCAGTGAGTGTGTCCCATGGATAGTGTGCAGTGAGTGTGTCCCATGGATAGTGTGCAGTGTGTGTGTCCCATGGATAGTGTGCAGTGAGTGTGTCCCATGGATAGTGTGCAGTTAGTGTCCCCCATGGAAACTGAGCAGGCAGTGTGCCCCATGGATAGTGAGCTATCAGTGTACCCCATGGATAGAGAGCAATAAGTGTGCTCCATAAATAGTAAGCCATTAGTGTGCCCCATGGATAGTGAGCAATCAGTGTGGCCCATGGATATTGTGCGATCCATGTGCCCCATGGATAGTGAGCAGTCAGTGTGTTCTATGGTTAGTGAGCAGGAAGTATGCGCTATGGATAGAGAGCAATCAGTGTACCCCATGGATAGTGAACAGTCAGTGTGTCCTTTAGATAAAAAAGCAGTGAGTTTGCCCCATGGAAAGGGAGCAGCAAGTGTACTCCATGAATGGTGAGCAGTGAGTGTGCCCCTTGGTTAGTAAGAAGTGAGTGTACCCCATGCATAGTGAGCAGTGAGTGTACCCCATGGATAGTGAGCAGTGAGTGTGCCCCATGTATAAAGAGCAGTGAGTGTGCCCCATGTATAAAGAGCAGTGAGTGTGCCCCATGTATAAAGAGCAGTGAGTGTGCCCAGTGGATAGTGAGCAGTGAGGGTGCCCTATGGATAGTGAGCAGTAAATGAGCTCCATGTATAGTGAATAATGAGCAGTAATTATGCTCCATGGATAATTAATAGTGAGCAGTGTACTCCAGGGATATTGAGTAGTGAGCAGTCATTGTGCTCCATGGATAGTGAGTAGTAAAGTGCACCCCATGGATCGTGAATACTGAGGAGTCACTGTGCTTAAGGGATAGTGAATAGTGAGCAGTCATTGTGCTCCATGGATAGTGAATAGTGAGCAGTCAGTGCACTCCAGGGATAGTGAATAGTGAGCAGTCAGTGTACGCTATGCATAGTGAGCAGTCAGTGTACTCCATGGATAGGGAATAGTGAGCAGTCAGTGTACGCTATGCATAGTGAGAAGGAAGTGTACTCCATGGATAGTGAATAGTGAGTAGGAAGTGCACTCCAGGGATAGTGAATAGTGAGCAGTCAGTGTACGCTAGGCATAGTGAGCAGTCATTGTACTCCATGGATAGGGAATAGTGAGCAGTCAGTGTACTCCATGGATAGTGAGTAGGGAGTGTACTCCATGGATAGTGAGTAGGGAGTGTACTCCATGGATAGTGAATAGTGAGTAGGAAGTGTACTCCATGGATAGTGAGTAGTGATCTGTCAGTGTGCACTGGTGTGATCAGCACTGTTTTGTTATTGCAGACAGTGTAGAAGGCAGTGAAAGGTGACAATAGCACACTATGATCCTGTGATCGGTGGATATTGGAGGCTGCTGGTCCCGTGTGTTCACTATTAGCCCGGAGTGACGTCTCCAGCCATGTGATAGCCCCTGTTTGCTATAAGGAGAGCCGCCCTCCTCTGGACTGAGAGGCAGCCTATCCTCAGAGCTTCGCTCAGCCTGCTCCCTATCACCGTCCCTCTGCCTGGCAGCCTGCAGCACCCAATGCTTGAATGTAGGTCTGGGCTACGAGCTCAGTGTGCCCCCAGCCCAGAACAGTGTGCCAGCTCGGAGGAGGGCAGAGCAGAGGAGACAAGCTCTCCTCCCAGCCCATCAGCCTTATGATCTGCCCTGCAAGCCATGACTCTGAGCTCTGAGATGTCCGATGCCTCTGCCTTGGCTGATGAGACCGACATTGATGTGGTCGGAGAGGGGGAGGATGAGGAGCCCAGGGGGTGCCACTATACTGAGGAGGAGGATGAGGAGGTGGTGGTGGCAGAGGACATTTTGATGCCAATGTCCCCTCAGTGCTCATCAACCAAAGACTCGTACAAGCCTGCCAGCAAGAACACCCTGGTGAAGCCCCCCTACTCTTACATTGCCTTAATCACCATGGCCATCCTGCAGAGCCCCAAGAAGAGGCTGACCCTCAGCGAGATCTGCGAGTTCATCAGCCAGCGATTCCCTTACTACCGCGAGAAGTTCCCCGCCTGGCAGAACTCCATCCGACACAACCTCTCACTCAACGACTGCTTCGTCAAGATCCCCCGGGAGCCTGGCAACCCGGGCAAGGGCAACTACTGGACACTGGACCCCGAATCGGCCGACATGTTCGACAACGGCAGCTTTCTCCGTAGGAGGAAGCGCTTCAAGAGGCAGCAGACCCCGGAGCTGCTGCTCAGGGACCCCGGCCATTTCCTCCCCGCTGCTGCCTACGGCTACGGACCTTACAGCTGTGGCTACGGAATCCAGCTGCAGCCCTTCCACCCTCACTCGGCCCTGATCGCCTTCCAGTCCCAGCACAGACAGCCAGCCAGTGCCCCTGCCATGGCAGCCTCATCCCTCCTAGCAGCTGACCTGCCCAGGACCTGTACCTTTTACCCCCAGCAGCTGAACCCAGCACTTCCAGGCACCCTGCACACTGCCAAGAGCAGCAGCCGGTCCACCTTCTCCATCGACAGCATCATAGGTGGGGACATCAGCCCTGTACAGTGCAGCCCTTCCAAAGCCTCTGGGGTCCCTGTCATCTCTAGGGCCCTGGTGACTTTCTCAGGCTCCCCTGCTGCTGCTGCCTTAGGTGGGGCCCTGCAGCCTGGAACAGTGCTTACCAATGGGGAACCCTATGCCACTAGGATCTTAAACTCTTAATCAAAATCAGGCCTTTACCGAGAAGGTAGGATGCTTTCTATGGGTTGTGCATTCTTTGGTTTTTTTTTTTTTTTTTTTTTTTGTT